CACATTATAACGCCCCCACGGCTGAAAGGGCGAGCATGTTTTGGTGGGATGGGGATGCGAACCTGCGACCCGCAGATTGCGAATCGAGCGTCCTAACCACCTGGCCATGCCGGGCGCCTGGACAGCCTTAGAGACTGGCAAGAACGTGGGAAATATGTTTTAATATTAAGTATGAAAATTTGGAAGGAACTTGCATCTTGTGAGAAAATAACATTGGTGGGGTAGAAATAGAGAATCTTTAATTGAGTATTTAATTATGGTGAAAAATAGCTTAAAATGTTGTAAAACCTATTTTTAGATATATGAAATCAAGAATAAGAAAGTAGTTCTGATATTTTAGAATACCGTGTTCACTATAGGAAGAATAATATCATCATAAGAAGAGGTCAAGATGAGGCTGCTGGAATGAAAACTGGTTAAGAACATTCACGCTGTGAAGATAGGCCTAAACTTTTTATTTTCTTTTCACTGGAACTGAAATGATATGATGAAAGCGTTTAAAAAAACTGGGGAATTAGTTAACACATCTTTAGGAGGTATTAGTAATGGGATATTAAGGCCATAAACAGGATCTTAAATACTACGTGTTCTTCGACATAATTATTTATATTGAAAAATAAATTTGTTATAATAATATTATGTTAACCATTTGTTTGAATTTGTTCAGACTTTTATTAAATTGTATACGAATGTTAGAGACTATATTTGGCTTTGATTAACCGTTCACAAAACTAAAGGCTAAATGGCCTTCTTTAACCTTGCCTTTTCTTGTAAAACAAACAGACTTTTAAACTTTCCTGATAAGATTACATACACGCAGTGAAGACAAAAGATGCATTTACCTTCAGGTATATCATTCACTTTTACGCCGCTTGCGGCTGGTAATCACAGCAACAGTATAACTACGTCGGGTCTCCTTTTTCTGTTTTGTGTTTATTAGTTGTGATATTTTATTTGATGTCATTGTTGATATTATAATCAGCACTCAGAATTGAAAGATAAACAATGGTATTTTCATAACAATAATAATAGGATGGCTGGGACACTCACAACACCATCTTAATTCAAGGACAGATTTATGATATACATAACTTCACTCTAGGAGTAATTTTTATCGCCAATAATGTCTATAAATTATTCATGGAGGGATATGATAATATTAGATCAAGAGAAACTCCAACATTTTAACATCTATAAAGGTCTGGACGATAGTACTAGTATTCAATAATGGGTTTGTTTGTTTTGAATTTCGTTCAAAGCTACACGATGGCTATCTTTGATAGCCGTCCCTAATTTAGCAGCGATATACTAGAGGGAAGTCAGCATCACCCACCGCCAACTTCCGGCCAACTATTTTACCAACGAATAGTGGGATTGAAAAGGGCTGAAAGAACGAGCATGTTTGGTGTGACGGAGATTTGAACCCGCGACCCTCAGATTGCGGTTCTACTGCCCTAACCACCAGACCATGCCAGGCCCGTCAGTGATGGAGATGATAGAGATTATTTATTTGTCTGAAAGAATTATTTCTAGCTCAAAACGTAGGAACAGTGTTTGAATTAGATAAAAACTGATTAGGTCCTCTGCACTATTTTCATATTTCTTCCTTTTCACAAAGGATTTTGCAAAATTAGTTAGAACAAGGGTTTGTCAGCAGGATAAAAAAAACAAAAACAAAATACTTAGGATGACTATGGTTGACCATACTCTTTCTTGAATGTTTGTTGTTTAACATAAAAAAATATCATAGAATTCCATGATAAATGAATGTTAAAAAAATGTAGTGATGGCGGTTTCTGTATTTCAGGGATAGACGAGAGTCTCTTTTATACCAAAGTTGTAACGTCAGTGACACTGTACAACATTTCAGAACTGGAATTGATCGGTTCGACAGTACATTTGTTTTCTTGCTACGTATAGATGTTTAATGTATTCTGAACACTGGGTTTGAAGTGGAAAAACAGCAAACTATTGGTCCAGATCACAACGAGGACTTGTAAAATACTACACCTTGCAAGCGTTAAATTAATAAAGGGGTTGTATCCTTGAAACGTTAGCATGCCGGGCTGTGGATCAGAAGGTCCAAGGTTTGAACCAATACATACCGCTGAACACTCGGGGGTCCGCAGATTGCAAATTGAGCGCTCTACCCACCAGGCCATGTCAAGCCTGTCATTCAGGCTGAACATACGAAACGCTAAATGATGTCAAAACATACATACAAACTTGTGGTTTAAAAATAAACCTTAAAGGATCTTGCTCAAACACAGGTTGAAAACTTTTCTTAAGTTTACTATTTAAATGAAAACTCTGAAAAAAGCCCGTAAACAGCAAAACATGAAGTAACATAATTATCGAACAATAATAACAATTGAAGAGTTATACCAGCAACTCCAGTTACAATAGAATTCAAAACTCGTAAGTGCTGTAATATTATGTCAAACCTAATACTTTAACTTAAGAAGCACATACCAGTTCCTTAGGTATGATTGAGAATTTAACGTATATGTTTATATTTAACGTTTATTAAGCTGTGTTACACCAAGTTTAGTTTTAACTATATAGTTTAGCAAACTGTGCTACACTAAGTCTAGTTTTTAAATATATAATTTAGCAAATTGTGCTACACCAAGTCTAGTTTTTTAAATATATAGTTTAGCAAACTGTGTTACACTAAGTTTAGTTTTTAGAGTGTATAGTTTCGCAAACTGTGCTACACTAAGTCTAGTTTTTAAATATATAGTTTAGCAAACTGTGCTACACTAAGTTTAGTTTTTAACTATATAGTTTAGCAAACTGTGCTACACTAAGTTTAGTTTTTAACTATATAGTTTAGCAAACTGTGCTACACTAAGTTTAGTTTTTAACTATATAGTTTCGCAAACTGTGCTTAGATTTAGCGTATGTAGTTTAGCAAACTGTGCTACACTAAGTTTAGTTTTTTAACTACATAGTTTAGCAAACTGTGTTACACTAAGTTTAGTTTTTTAACTATATAGTTTAGCAAACTGTGTTACACTAAGTTTAGTTTGTTTTGTTTTTGTTTGTTTTTCTGAGTTTCGCGCAAAGGTACACGAGGGCTATCTGCGCTAGCCGTCCCTAATTTAGCAGTGTAAGACTAGAGGGAAGGCAGCTAGTCATCACCACCCACCGCCAACTCTCGGGCTACTCTTTTACCAACGAATAGTGGGATTGACCGTCACATTATAACGCCCCTATGGCTGAAAGGGCGAGCATGTTTGGTGTGACAGGGATTCGAACCCGCGACCCTCAGAGTGCCTTAACCACCTGGCCATGCCGGGCCTAAGTTTAGTTTATTAACATATATGGTTTATCAAGTTGTGTTACACTAAGTTTAGTTGGGAAGTTTATATCTTACGTAGATTTATCAATACTAAAATAAATTAAATACTTTCTAGGCATTTAATACATTTACACTTTATACGTGCATATTCAGAATAAAAACTTAACTCTAGTGATTAACTAAATAAATGATAGTTCTCATGTTATTATTTTAATTTTTACTTTTTTGTTTAAACGGGTAATTTACTCTTGCTAAAAAGGTATTAAAGGCTATTTTGATAAACTCGAATGTATTTTTTCTTTCAGTGTGTTATACAGAGGCGCTGTTATAAAATCTAGACAGAAAAGGCATATCATTCGTTCTATTAATTTTCTAAACAAAGCTCTTGAACTTTGGCCTGTGAAAAGCTGATGGGGAACGATTTACATGTTCATTACAGACCTGCTGTCACTTGATATAACAGATCACTGTCTAACAGGCATTGACTATCAATATCATGTTGACTAAACGTACTTGTACACATAGTCAGTCGCAGTGACAAGGTTTTACATAAAGTACAGGTTCTCAACCTGTTTTTTTTTTTTCCTGATGTGATATTTTTGGATGACTACATATTACGTCACATTCGAACGAATAAAATAGACAAAGTTAGTACAACTTTATTTGTCCTTATTTGCTGTAAATTTAAAGTAAAACAAATCGATACAGCTAACCATTTTTTTTTTTATCCAGATAACGAAAGAAGCGATTGATAATATTTCTTGTGTACTGGTGTAATTACGTGACGATGGGGAAATACTTCAAAACATATTTTTTATTTTTTACAAAAACAAATTATGGTCTAAGATTTACACTACATATGATCACAGAATAGCCGAAATTAATCACCGTGGTGCCTCTTTGCAAGGGATAATAGAACACAAAAGAAACTGATATAAGCTAAGTATGAAATTAATCTTAAATATATGTGTGTGTATGTATTTGAGGCTTTTAACACTGACCACATGTTCAACAAGGGCTTCTTGCTCAGTGTTTCTAAAAACTTGTTTGTGACATGGCCTACACATATCTTCCAATTACACGAACTTTGTTTTATAAAACTTTTCATAACTTAGGCGTTGTCTTTACATAACAGTCTATTTAACCTTACCAAAAACTTTGAAAAGATTCAGAGCATGTGGGAACAAAAAATATAACTGTTTATCATAGAGATTGCCAGTGAACTGTCTTTATACGTGTTTTATCTCGATTATGTTATCACTACGACCTTGGTATGAACTTTCGGAGGTCGATTAGATGTAACCTTCTCAACATTGGCCAATCTCTGAACAGATTATCATTTGATTTGTCTGAACATTAATTAGTTTCGTTTGGACATCTGATCACCAAAGCGGTCTAATTTCCACGCACAAATTTTGCTACTGTTGCAATTCTTTCACATTTTCTTTGCGGTTCGTTGACATTTTTGAACAATTTTACAGAAACAAAAACTGCATTTGAAAACAAAAATAGTATTTTTGGAGAAACTCGAGTATTAACCTTATGATATGCGAATGATTTCTTCAACTTTTTTACCGCAAAATCTATGAATTATGTTGCCCTCCAGTGGCTACGAACTTACAACGCTAGAAATCGGGTTTCGATACCCGTGGTGGGCAGAGCACAGATAGCCCATTGTGTAGCTTTGTGCTTAAGTTCAAACAAACAAACAATACTATAAATTATATTATATTTAGCGGTTCTTTGAGATACTTTGATAACAACTTCTAAACTTTTCGTGTAACTATAATCATTTAAAAGGGTATTTAGTATTTTTATTGCGATTTTTAAATGATGATTCTATGTCTAATATATTTTCTGCATCTTAGATGACAGGGATATCTTCGATCGGGGATCGACAAAATACGTCCACAATGATAGCAAAAGACATTACGCCAATCAACGGACTTCCTTTGGATGATCTCGAAGTGCCATCTGGTGGTGTAATGGAGATGAATAACGGTCTTTCTTTTCAATTCGATCCCGAACTACTCCTGCAAACAACGGGTTATAACCCTCAGGATGTTTCCATGCCGATCAGAAATCAGGTTACCCACACTTCAGCGTTAGCTGTTAGTACTCCTACACTTAATCGTGTAAAGAATTCACAGTCAGATGGTTTACCACGACCACAGACTCCTTGTAGACTTCCACCAATGGCGTCGTTTCTTGTAAATATTTCTACTGATGCAGAAAGACCATCTTCAGAAATTAATAATCCGTTTAATTCAACACATACGACTTCTACGGTGAGTACTTTAAAAAGAGTAAGTCATAAAAGAACAAACAGAAGTCAAAGTGCACGATATGCGCACAATAGTTTTCCACGACTTTCGCCAGCGCCACCTAGTTATCAGCCTGCTCAATCACCATCAACTTTAATGATGATGACTGGTTATAATAACTTAGCCGTTGGCTATTTTTTAAATCCAGAACAACGTACCAAGATAGGTAAGCTTAGGACAATAAAATGTTTTATCAACAGTTCAAAAAATATTAAAATTAAATTAGTGACACCAAAAAATACCTTTCACACAGTTTTGTTATTATGATGTCAACTACAAGTTATGTAATCTCTTTGTATTGGACTTTATGTTTCACTATCTTGTACTTAGTTTCGGAGATATGTTTGAAGTTCTTTTAATGTACTTCACTAGAAGTCGATAACAAGGCACCTGGTAACATCATACTAAATAAATGTTTTCTTAGTGTGTTGATTTTACAGTACAAATACACAGAGAAAAAAGTTATTGAATTCACCTTCAAAGCTTGATTGAATCAATATTATTTCAACAAAAATAAAGTTGTAAAACAATAAAAATCGGAAAGTCACGAGAAAATGATCAAAATAAGAAAATACTAAATAATAATATATTTTTTTACACCTTTGTGACTCTAAAGTTTTGAAACAACAAAGCTATCATATTTCCAAAACGTACTGAGTTTAGTCCAGGTTCCTAGTTTGTTGAGGTTATAACCGAACTTAATGTATATTTTTCAAAAAGTAAAACGCTTGCGAACATAATTTTTAACCTTTGAATACCCAAAATGTATACTTTGCGGCACATAATAAAAAAAGAAAGAAATGTGTGCTGTCCGTATATCTGTCTAATTCTGAGTTATTGTGTATATACAATAATATGTAAGGATCTGTTTGTTTGTTATTAAGCACGAAGCTACACAATTGGCTATCTGTACTCTGCCCACCACAAATACTGAAACCCGGTTATTCGCGGTATGAGACCAAAGACTTGCCGCTGAACTACTGGAGGGGGGGGGGGGCGTTATTAACAAATGTGTTTGTTTGTTTTTTGTAGTTAAGCATAAAACTCTGCCCAAAACGGGTATCGAAACCCGGTTTCTAGCGTTTTAAGTTCGCGGACATACCGCTGTGCCACTGTGGAGCGTTATTAATAGAACACCTTACTTAACTAGCTATTTGAATCGAATCAAGTCATAGGTATGAATATTTTCCAACATTGTGAAGGATTAAAAATCTAATAAATACTTGTAAAAGGTCTGAAGCACACAGAAATCGTTTCTTAGTTCGATAGTTTGCTTTTGCAGAGGATACATTGTTTGTGCACATATACAGAACTATTTTTAACTAGAGTAAATGTTCGATATCTCGTCCATTCTTCTGTTTGTAATATTATAAAGTAGCATTGTAGTATAGTTAAAGAGATAAATTAGATACGTAAGATTATAATTTACATATCAGTTCATTTATAAAGCGATTTCTTTCATTAATTTAATACCACATTAGCACAATAACTGAGTTAGCTGGCTAGCATACCAGGCTGCGTATCGGAAGGTCCAAGGCTCGTGGATAACTATAACTGTGACAGTAAATCTCGGTTATTAGTTTAAAATAATCGCTTAGACCAGGGGTGTTGGCATTCCCCGGGGGGTGCGAAATGAGGGTCCAGTAGGTGCGCGGAAGAGGCTTATACAAGGTCCGTTTACCCAAAATGTCGCCAAGAAGAAATGTCTAATGCACACGTTTTTAGGGGAGGGGTGCGAGGGCCACAAACCACTGACTTAGACAAAGGGTTCTGCTGCTGGTTGCCCATTCCTCTAGTTAACAGTTCTGAATTAGTGATATTTATGCCTGAACTTTGGGATCTCTGACCTTTCTGTGTAGCCCATGTGTTTTATAAGTTACTAGCAGATTTCCGTTGAAACAATTCAACGGTAATGTTCCTAAAATTAGTGATGAATAAATATAAAACGAGCAGTCAACCCAATTTCTTGGATCAGAGCGTTTATGCAATATGATTGTCTAGTGGGCCATTTATAATCGTCTTTTGTCATTCCATATGTTAGTTCAATAAGGAAAATTGCATTGTGTTTGTTTTTAAGCAAAGGAGACTGACTACAATGCATTGTTGGCAAAATTTTTTGGTTTCGGTGCAATGGGTGCATCCAGCATATTAAAGTGCTCACGTTTCCTTTGTAGCAGCGGGAATTTTTTGCGCTGGATGCCTCTGTTTCTTGTCATTTTACTGAATGCAAGAAAAGACTGCTACCAAAGTAAGCGCTTTCTCACAACTGTCATTTCTATAAGAAATATCAAAGGGGAGATGTTCCTCACAAAAAAGAAACATTTTTGTTCTTAATAAGTTCATCATATACAAAGACTGACGGATCGATGTTGATATCAATATGAAAATTAGGTTTAAAAAATAATTTTCCTATACTGTACTCTGGAAAAGAAGCGTTTTGATATTCATATTGTTATACGAATAACCATTCAGGAGAGACAGAGCGTGACAGACTGACATTTGTCTATTATATATATATATATAGATCGCTTAGGTTGAAAATTACTAGATACTGTTAATAAAACTGAACTAAAGAAATTACTGAGAAATTAATAAGAAAAAATAAAAAAGCACAGTTTAAAATTGTTCTTTGAAAAATCTTCATAATATTTAAATGTCAAAAACGTTTCATGCTGCATTCATAAAATGGAATTTTGTTGCACATAACGTACGCTTGTTTTGACCAGTATATTATATGCTATTATAAGGGATCATAACGCTGTTAAATATCTTCAAAGTTATAACATTTACTATGATTAAAATTTAGGGTGCGGGTTGACCTTATGGTAGAACTTTCGGAGCTAAGGAGCCGATTTCGAATCCGTGCGATACCACAAAATATTTCCCACATTTTAAGCTCTCGGTACGTTATAAGAGTGACAATCAATCCGTCTATGGCAGGTGGTAGAGTACTGCTGACTGGTCAATAGTTCAAAATTAAAGACTGTAACAGCTATTCTTAGTAGTTTTGTCAAAATACAAAACAAAAAAATACTAACAACCACTAAAAACAATCTCTTTTAAACATTCTTGTGTCCTAAATCTTCTATCTACTGAATATGTAAACAAATATTGGCTTGCAAAGTCTTGCTT